AGACTGCACGGCGCCCCGAGCCCGCCGCGGAGCCGCGTCGGCATGCGTGCGGTGTGCACGCCAGCCCCGGCGTCCGCCCTGTTGGGCATCCCGGTGGAAGGTGGGGGGGGAGTACCCAGGGGTGGCCACAGAACCAGGAAGTGATGGGTCCCCGGTCCTAACAGGCGTTCATTCGGCCTGTGGCCGGTAGGAGGCCCAGGGGTGCCCAAGAGCCCTGCCTGGCCTTGATAAGTTTGCCGGGGTCCTTCTTCGGCCATGCAATCTTGTCCACGCCTCAGAACAACCCGGGGAAGACAGACACCGTTATTACCTCGTTCCTAAAGATGGGGAAACTGAGGCTCAGGGAAGTGAGGGCCCTGGCCCAGTTCTTGCAACCCAGTTTTCAGCCCAGGCCAACAGATTAGGGAGGCCGTTACAGATGAAGAAATTGAGGGTGGGAGGAGCAATCGGTGTGGCCGAAGGGTTTTTTTTTTAAGCAGGTCACCCACCTAGTGCTCCTGTGGCCCTCCCTGTAAGAAAAAATGCCCGGGTAGGCAGAGTTTCAGGCACCCTGGTGACTGTCAGCTTAGCTTACTGCCTTGTGCCGCTCTGCTGTGCCTGTGTTAGGGCATGCGGGCTCACGGCCAAAGATTCGCTGGATTTGTGCAAAGTCATAGAGGCAAACAAGACACTTGAAGGTACCCAGCTCCTGCCTTACCGGAGCATTACGACCACAGCTAAGTGACTTTCCAAGCCTGGCCCTTCTAGGTCTTGGTAGCTAAACCCACAGAGCCTGGTGTTCCATAACCTACCCGAGGGGTCTTCCAAAAGTCTACAATAAAGGGCTGGCTGTTCGGGGCCTCCTCTTCACCTTACCTCCTCCTGTTAAAAGGCCTAGTAATGAGAAGGATTACAGGACAAGCCATTCTTAGAACATTAACACCTTATCAGCTGGCTTTAATTAATAACTTTCAAAGTTGGAGGCCTACCCCACCCTCCACCTTCCCATAGCTCTGCAGAGCCTGCCACACTCCATTACTGGAGACTAGCCCGAAGTAGAAAAGATTCCCAGGGGACACTCAGACACCCGGGTTAAACCACGCCGAAGTGCCTCCACATCTGAGGTCACACAAGATTTATAATTTGGAGTACATCGACCCTTCCAGTTCCATGCTTTTTTTGGCTGCCTGTCAGCCCTCAGAAGCAGGGCATGGGTACCTCTGAAAATCATTCCGTGTAGAGGCCGCCCACGCTTTCCCTGCACCTGTATGTAACAAATATCCCATCAGCAAACAGAGCTAAGGATATGGCTCAGGGGTAGAACAAGTGCCTAGCACACACCGAGCCCTGGGTTCAATCCCAAGAATTGCAAACAATAACAAACAACATGAACTATCCCCCCGGAAGTAGATATGGTGGCTCACACCTCCAGTCTCCACTTGGTAAGCTGAGGCAGAAGGGTTGCCAGTTTGAAGCCTCTCTGGGCTATAAAGTAAAACACTTGTTTCAAAAAGAAAAAAGAAAAAAAAAAACAAGACAACAAGGCAGAAATAAAAACTCTACTGTCGCCTAAGATTTCAGAGAACTATAAACTGACGACGACGATATCACCAATAGCTAACATAGCCTGAGTGTTTGCAGTATGTTAGGACCTTTAATATGGCATCATTCAATTAAAACTTCTGGTTGTTATTATACTATTGCTCCCCTTTCACCCCCATTGAAACAGGCTCGGGGCAGATGACTGACTTCCCTAAGAGAACTACGACAAGGAGAAATGGGTCCAGAACCCACTTCTGCTGCGCAATCACGGTTTGCCATAAAGAACGGGTACTGCGTCTCTTGAATTCAAATGCCAGCATGTAAATCCGTTTACCAGACATTTACTGAATACCTATCTGGTTCGGGCCCGTGTGTACACAGCAGTGAACGCACAGGCAGCTAGCTGGAGGACAATGAGGACGGGTGGGGTGGGGGTGTGAGAGGGGCCTTGTCGGCCGCAGTGACTGTCATAGAGTTGCTCCCAGGAACAACGAGAGAACGGGGGAAGTAAAGGTCATGTGATAAAAATCGGTACTCTTTAGTTGCTGAGAGTTGATGAGGTGAATCGTGTGGAGATGATGAAGTGGAAGAAAGGAGAACAATTTGAAAAGGGCAGAAGAGGTGGAGAAAATAGATGAGCTGACCATCCTCAACATAACGTGTACGGTGGCTCACTCCTATAACCCCTATGCCAAGCCAAAGTAATAGACTTGGGTTGTATATACCTTCCAGACTCTAAAACAACCCAAAGCCACAAGACACCCTTCAAAACCAGAGAGAAGCGACCTGGTATGTGAGTAGTCTGTTCAGATGACACAGTACGACCCTCGAGGTGACAGGAATGTCTTTCTTTTCTTTCCTCTGCCTCCTCTTTTTTTTTTGGGGGGGGGGAGGTGGAGGTGGGGCATCTCACACAGTGGCCTAGGCTGGCCTCCAACTCTCAGCAATTCTCCTGCCTCAGTCTCCAAACTTCTGAGTCACCACCCCTGCTCAAGGATGGACTTTCTAGGGGCTAAGGTTGATGAAGCTCAGGGGTACAGTGCTGACCTAGCATGCCCCAGGCTCGCCTTTTTATCTCTAGCATCAAAAAAACAAACAACCTCCCCCAAAGTGATTTTCAGGAGGAAACGGCCTGGTCTTTTCATTTGATGCACTACAAATGATGTGTTATTTATAAATCTTAACGTCTAATTCAATAATTCACAAGAGTAATACAAAAATTCACAATAATACACATTCACCAGGCCTAGCAGTACCCCAACTAGTACCCAGCTACTTAAGCTGAGGCTGGAGGACTGCCTGAATCTTGGGCCAGCCTGTGCTACATAGCGAGTCCCTGTCTAAAATCAAAACCCAAAACAGCCTTGGGCCAGGGATGGTAGTATACATTCTTATCCCAGCACTCCGGAGGCGGAGGCAGGCAGATCTCTGTGAGTTCTAGGCCAGCCAGGGCTACACAGCAAGACCCTGCCAAAAAAA